CCCAAAGTCTTTCTTGCCACATGAAGTTAAATTTGAAAAATTGATCACAGCATGTTAGAACCAGGAGCCAGAAAGCTTCAACCTGCTCTTGTCTTCAACAGTGAATGAACATGAGCGCTGACAATTTCAGAAACTGTGAGGCTAACAAGTCCTTTTGTGCAGTGGTTTTTTTTTGTTGGTTTGTTTTTTTTTTTGGCAACAGTAGCCTCAGGCCCTGATGACTTTTTATTCCCGCAGTGCATATTCATCTTTAAAACTGCATTAAGTCTCCTCTTGCGAGCAGGTGCAACTGACAGTGAGTTATTCAGAGGTTTAGAGGATGTGGACTTGTTACTCAGTCTGAAATGGAAGGATTGAAAGGCAAACAAGGAGCCTGCGTGGGTGAGGACAGATAACCCATCTGGACTTGTGTGGCATGTTTGCTGTCTCTGAATCCCAACCAGATCAAGTGTACTCGGGTCAGAGCGTGAGTTCATCTTGTGCGTTCATAGTACCTGGCCTACTACACCTCGTGTGGACGTGAAACTGCTTGTTTCACAGTGAGATTTTCATATAATCACAGGATGGTTTGGGTTGGAAGGGACCTTACAGATCAACCAGTGCCACCCCCTGCCATGGGCAGGGACACCTCCCACTAGCCCAGGTTGCCCAAAGCCTCATCCAGCCTGGCCTTGAACCCCTCCAGGGATAGGGCATCCACAGCTTCTCTGGGCCCCCTGGGCCACTGCCTCACCCCCCGCACAGGAAAACATTTCTTCCTCACATCTCATCTCAATCTCCCCTCTTTCAGCTTAAACCCGTTCCCCCTCATCCTGTCCCTGCACCCCCTGATCCAGAGCCCCCCCATCTCTCCTGTAGCCCCCTTTCAGCACTGGAAGCTGCTGGAAGGTCTCCCCGGAGCCTTCTCTTCTCCAGGCTGCACACCCCCAACTCTCTCAGCCTGTCCTCGCACGGGAGCTGCTCCAGCCTCTGCCCATCTCCGTGGCTCCTCTGGCCCCGCTCCAGCAGCTCCGTGTCTGTCCTGTGCTGAGGACCCCCGAGCTGGGGGCCGCACTGCAGGGGGGGTCTCACCAGCGCGGAGCAGAGGGGGACAATCCCCTCCCTCGCCCTGCTGCTCACGCTGCTGGGGATGCCCCCAGGACACGGGTGGCCTTCTGGGCTGCGATTGCACATTGATGGGTTGTGTTGAGCTTCTCATAATTTTGAGTGAGTCTCTTTGTGAACACCTGGCAAAATGATAGAACAAGGAACACGGTGGCCAGATTGTATAGAATGTGAGAAAAACCAGACATGTGACAGGTTTGGCCTGGTGTGTTCCCAAAACAGCCACTCTTGTGCCTTTGAAGGGTGTGTGTAAAGCCAGAGAAAGTGTTCATGCATTATGTAGTATTTTTGAAGTGTGGAGGATGCTTAGACACCTCCACCCTGGAAATTACTGAGAGCTTGCTGGCAGCGTTTTCATGTGTGCTGTTTTTCCACCCACCTCTTTCACGGAAGAAGATATGAATATGAAAGCTCAGCAGAGCTGGCTTATGGAGCCCGTGCACAACCGGTATCAGACCATCCTTATTTCCCCAGTGTAATGGCACACAGCACAGAGCTTGGCCCATGTGTCTGGTTGGGGATGAGGAAGGTGACACGAAGCACATGTGCCATAGCTCTGCTTGGTGCTGTGCTGGAGTAAGAGCCTGTATCATGCTGTCCCCAAATAACCACTGCATCTTTCTGCTACAAATAACTTGTTATGCCCTTCACATAACGTAGGTGAGCAAGGCACAGGAGCAGGTGCAGAAGCAGCCTGTGTGTGTGTTACTCTGCAGATTAGCTGAGCTGGAGGGAAGGATGACGCTCTTTATACTTCAGTTATGTGGCATTTTTTCCTTCCAGCTCTTAAAATTCGTGTGTTTCTGCAGGAGAAACAGGTGGTAGTCGCAGCCCTCCCTCCCTCTGGAGCTGGCTCCTTGCCCAGAACAAAGCAGGTTGTTTCCAAAATGGGCATCTTTGGTAGTACAAAGTACAGTAAATCTGCAAATACCCTCATATTGTAAAGAGTGTCCTGCGCTTTGTTGGGTTCAGCTTTAAGTACTCTTTGAGCTTCATGTTCTGTATCCTAAAATTACTATATACATACTGTGTGTGTCCTTCATACAGGGTCCTTGTTCCTTGGTCTGCAGCGTACGATTGTCTCATCCTGCCTGCGTCACCCAGTTGCCTCAACAGTGGGACCCAGTATCCTGGTCAGAGACTCGGAGGTCATTAGATTCTGTTCTCATGTAGCATTGATGATTTAGGAGCACAGGCAGGCAGTCAGAGAGCTCAGCTCAGCCAGTTGAGCCAGCAGCACTGGTGGCTTGGATGCTGGATGCGGCAGTGACCAAGCTTGCAGGGCTTCCAGCCGGGATCACTGTCGTCTCTATAAACAGGAACAGGGGCACGTATAGATGTGCTGAGATTAATCTCTCTTCGCAGTTTGGAGGCGAGAGTCTTTAACCCTGAGTAGGGCTTGGGAGGAGGAGGAGGAATGAGTATCACACAGCAGAGCTATTCAGCCATCTTACTTTCGGCTCGCTGGCAGCTCTGAATCAAAGCTCAGAAGGGAAGGATGACAGAATTTAGCCCTCAGCGCTTCTGGCATGGATCTGTGGAGCCACACGTCCTGTGCAGGCATCTCATGGATGGCTTTTTAGGCCATAGCAATTCACGTGGCTTTGTGGATTCAGAGCATTTGCTTTGTTGGCCAGGGGCTGAATTGCAGGTACCCTTGGTTTATCCTTTCCCTCACCACAGGTGCCTTGCGGGATGCTGAACTGCGTGTACAGTGACCCCCTCCTCGAGCAAGGAGTGATGTGCAATTGCTTGGCCCTGCAGCGCAGTGACAGAGACACACTGAAAATGCAGTTATATTCTTGCTGTGTGTGTGATGCATTCTGCACCTTCCAGACGAACCTGATGCAGTCTCCACTGGGCTGAGTGCAGGAGTTAAACCCCTTTCTGTTTTCTCTTTGGTGCGTGACAAATCCATGCATCATTTTCAGTGGAACGTGTTGTCGCACAGCTCACCCCAGCTCCTAGTCCCCTGGGAGGGAGGATGCTGGAATGGATGCTCTGTCGCATGCTCTGATCTCAGCTCTGCCAGGAGCTTGTTCTGTTGCAGCCAGTCTGCTGGGCAGAATAAGCACGTAAGCCTTGCCCCACATCCCCGGGGAAGCATCAGTGAGGCTGCCACAGTGCGGCACTAATTCAGGTGCCCTGACAGCAGCCACAGGGGACAGGCAGTGGATGGCTGTGTGACAGCCAGGCTCCTTTTCTGCTCCTCCCAGGCAGCGTTGTGATTGCAGCCTTTAGTCCAGTCTTCTGGAATGAGTGAGGAGAGGCTTTCCTAGCGATTCTCGTGTGCTGAACTTGGAGCAAGAACACTTGTTTCCTAGCCCTTGAGCAGGTGCCTGCTTCCTCTGTACTGCTGAATTTCTTCCCATTTCTGTTATTCAGGCGCATCCAGTTCTTAATCTTGTCCCTGTCCTCCTCTCTGCTGATGCTGCCTCCCAGCTTGCAACCTCATGAGCATTTCCCTGGTCTCTGCCCCTTCACTGAAATATATCTCGAGGCTAATCCTTGAGGAACTCTAACAAGGATTTCTCTCCTAGCTAATAGTGCTTTTCAGTGCTACCCTTTATCTCCTTTAGCCAGTTCCTTCCTTGGGAAGGACTCCTGTCTTCACAATTCAAGTAACAGCTTCTTGGGGATGTTCTCTGGGGCTCCAAACACTGCTGCTCACAAAGTACCTTAGTTTGTTCCTTAAAAGTATATCAGGTTGCTCCTTAAACTAGGAAGTGATACCTCAAGGGGGTTTTGAGTTTTTTAGCCCCTGCTGTTTGTGTTATGCTCAGCAGTCGTTCCAGGGAAGGTGGCTGGCTGGCTCCGGTCCCTGAAGGACGAGGTTGTGCGCTATATGGGAGAGGAGTCACTGCTTTGACATTCTCGTTGCCTGGAGCATAAGCGAGTCTTTCTGTCTTGTAGAAGCAATTGAACCCAGAGCCTTTGTGCACAAGTTCGTTAGGGTTAATGAAATAAGGGGCGAGACCACGGCATTTGCTATATTTTATACCTGATACTTCACTTTGGGCATCCTCTTTATCTCTCCCAGATGTAGTGCATGTAGTAGGTCTTATTCTGAGACCATTTCATAGTAAGAGCCTGTGTTTCTGTTAGTGTTTCTTTGTGTACAGCTTCTTGAAAAACTGCTGACCGAACGGGCCGCAAAGGAGGCTGCAGCAGGATCAGGCTTGGTTTCCTTCTGGAAAAGGATTGAGCATTTCACCCTCTCTAGCGGTACAGGCTTCATTGCTCTTCTAGTCAGGAATCCAACCAGGACTACAACTTGCTTCGGAGCGTCTGCTGCTTGGCTTCACTGCCTCCTGCACAGAGGGGCGGTGTGTGCAGGGGGAGAGACTGCCCGTATATCTGCATATGGCGAGAGGGATAATTGCAGTCCCTCTCCGTGAGCCCTCTGGATAGCTCTTTTCTTTTGGCGTTCAAGGAGTCTCCTCTCAAATCCATTCTTGGCTGTGAGAAGAGGTTTTTATAGCATTTGAGTTTTCTTGAACACTCTGATCTCTTCTGCAGAATCTAAAAATGTGCCATTCCTGTAGTGCTTACTCCCTTAGAGACATATATCCAAGAGCTGACTTAAGGTTGTGTTTCAAGCCCTGCCGCGTTGTTACAGTCTGTCTCTCCAGGGAGCTCCCAGCAGCATTGCAAATACAGGTTTCATCCTGCAGTGCAGAGCAGATTGGGATTCTCCACAGCGCGGTACAGATCGGGTGAGTTTAGCTCATGTGGGTGAACCAGATTCACTGTGGCCCTGGGAGTCACAGCATCCCTGAAAGCAGACCTGTACCCTCCCAGCTCAGCATGTAGCCAAAGCAGCCCAGCATCGTGCTCGGTGCTCTCTTGAGCGTGTTTTCTGCATTCCTTATATTTGCAATTTGTCTTCCCTGCAGCTTCCTTGAAATGATGGAAGCCCGAAGTCGAGGACACACATCGCCACTAACAGCTAACGGGCAAAGCCCTTCCTCTGGCTCCCAGTCACCCATAGTACCTCCAAGCTCCACATCAACGGGCAGCTCCAGCCCTGGCACCCCACAGCCACCGCAGCTGCTTTCCACAAGCTCCACCATCTCTCCCGAACCCCCCCCATCTTTTTCACCAGTGCCTGCACCTGAAGCCCAGCAGCCTCATGCGCCTCCACCAGCTACAGCCTCCCCAGCACCTCCACCTGCAGCCCCGCCACCGAAGCGCAGCATTATTTCCCGTCTGTTTGGGACATCTCCTGCGTCAGACCCCTCTCCCCCCCAGCCAGGTAAGTGCTGGAGTGCAGGGTCTCGGCAGAGTGGCACCCGTGGGTGTTTCTCTGTTTTCCTTTCATTTTTTCCCTGCAAGAGGCTGAGCAGACAGGTGTCTGAAGAACATGGGCCCTGTGTGTGTGCAGCGTGTGTCCAAGGAGAGCTGTGCTGTCACTCTCTGTTTTCCTCCTCACTGGCATTTTGGTTTGTACTGGTTTTGGATGGGGACTGTGTCCAGCCCGCTGGGTGGTGGCCATAGCGTGCTTCGGGAGGAAGGTACTGAACACATGGGGGACGCTAATAAAATAACTGTCAGCTTCTTACCAGGAGCACATATGCTACTTGAATAGTAAGAAAAATTGTTAGAGAAGCTATTGAAGCGCTGTCTTCACAAAAGTCTGGCAGCTCAAAGGGGCTCTTGTGTGTTAACGGAGGCCAGCGGAGTGCTGGTTTTAAAGGTTATTCAGCCAGAAATGATCACGTAAGTCCAGGCTCTGCAGCGTATTCCCCTCCAGGGAAATATGCTCCTTCAGAGATGGTCTGAGGAGGAGGGCAGCCCTCCTCGACTTCTTCCTTAGCGCTGGTACACAATGGAGCACAGGAGCGCGGCGATCGGTCCAAACCGCTGCCGGATGAAGTTGCAGGGCAGAGGCATTGGAGGTTTTGTTGCATGTCCCATTCTCTTTGTTTGTGAAGCTAACTGGAGCTGCAGAGCTAGCCCTGCCTAAAAACTATTAGCATGACATGGTTTGAATCACCCTTTGGAAATACCTTCCCTCTCAAACTGTCAGTCCCTAGAGCTCGCAGTACTCTCAAGACACCCACAGAAAGAAAGGAGGAGGTGCTGAGAACACAGTTTGCACTTTCAGATATTGAAATCTTTCCGTTTTAGATTTGCACACAATGTTCTGTGTCCTGAATCTGTTACCAGGTATGACACAGGACGCCCGTTCAGTTTGTTGATGATTCTTCCTACCCAGGAACAAAGAAACAGAACAGAGCAAATGTTAGAAATCCCTTGTCAATAATAAAGTCTTTGTCATGCTGGT